TAATAACAATTATTATTTTATTTGTTATCGCCTATCCATCGCCTATTCGCCTATAACGCCCCATGTAATAACTATTTTCGATTCTATTTTTAAACTTGTAACAATAAGTTGTCAACAAGCCCGGACCGGCCGAACACGAGCCAGTCCCGCAATAATCAGAAATCTGGGTTTTTAAGTTTAATAATATAACATACTTATTAGATAATATTTTAATTTATAATTTCACAATAATAATATTAATAAATATATATTTTATACGAGCAGCGGCCCACCGGGAAATTTCCCGGTATCCCGGTCGTCCAGTCCGCCACTGAATTGCGTGGAGTCCAAAAAAGCTAAGAAAACCGCTATATTTGTTCTCACCATTTTTATGCATCTATGTATATGAACCCCAATACCTCAAGTAGTAGACTTACACAAAACGCTGTGCCTACAAAGTATTCAATTGATAATTACTTTAAATAAATTACTCAGCTATAATATATATACTGTTACCGTAGTACCAGGAAGCAAGTAGTTATTTTAGATTCTGAATGAAATGATGAATGTATTGATTCAAATTTTTACGAAATATGTCAAAATCGTGAAAAACTACAAGTTTGGATTACGATGATTATAAAAAAACTTGAACGTTGGCCAAATAAAAATCTGTTATCCTTGGTTAACATTTTTACAAAATTCAATATTCACTCGTAAAACAACGATTTACTAACAAAAAATTTTATATTTTTGTTATAGTTAAAAATTACTAGTCATAGAAACTTGAAACATACATCAGTTGTTTAAATTGGTAATTTCTGTAGATGATTTACTTTTAGGGTAGGTATGCTATTCATTAAAACTTAAACACTTTTTTCACCACTCATTGGAAATACTACACCAGTCAAAAAGGCAAAAAAAGGTAAACTAGTTTTTCATGAAATCGGTATTAGTTATTTGGACTTACCCCCAAAAATGATAGCCAACAATAGTGAAGTACAGACTGTAAAAAATGTTTATTAGTAGGACTGTGAATTTAATGCACTAAAAGACCTTAAAAAAATGTAAAAAATTATAGTATAAAATGCACTTAAAATGGTTTTTAATTTAATTTTAATATTTATATTGATATTATAGAATATTATACATTACATTCTAGATGCATAAAAATGTGTTTATTATATATTATATATACATATACATGCAAAATAAAAGTTTCAGAAATCGATTCGTTTTTACATAATTCAAATTAGGTATGTACTTACAAAGCTACGTTTCACAATCACAAAAAAATGCACTTTCCTACAAATTCACAGGCCTATTTATGTGTAAATAAAATTACTATTTATCTAAAACCAAACATATATATCTTATATTAATTATTAATAATATAAGAATAATATATTTATATCATTAAATATATAGGTAAGTGTATACATTTTTCTTTATCTATCATTTTAGAAAATTTATTTATGGATACAAAATAAATAAATATCATTGCAGAATCACTATAGCTTCCTTTTTCCACTAAAAATTTTAAATAAATGTATTTTTGGTAGGCGTATCTCTATCACCACAGTCATTCAAGGTATTTACACCAGTACGAAAATATAATAGGTGCCAAACATCGAATAGTACCATTGTTCAGCCTATATTCGAAAACAGTCCATCGTTATCTATAACACCTAGCACTAAGGCATACGTTTCGTCATTAATTGATTTTCCTAGTCCAAAAATTAAGTCGCCCAAAAAATTATTAGAAAATGAATCAAAATTACAATGCAAATTACAAAATCTTCGACGAGTTTTGAAAAGAACACGAGCTATCATAACTTTTAAAAAAAATAAAAATAAAAATAAAAAGTTTGAAAATTTCAAATATTCCAAAAATTCCAAAAATTGCATTAAAAATATCTTTAATATTACAAAATTTACTTCAAAAAGTTCAAAAACCTTAACTGGTATGCAATTACTGCACAAAAAGCGTCAAAGTTGGTCTGAAGCAGAAAAACAACTAGCTTTGACACTTTATTATACATCACCTTCTAGTTATAAATATATGAGGAAAAACGGTATTATTCTGCCTGGAGAGAGCACAGTACGTCGTATGCTACAATCTATAGCATATGTTCCTGGATTTTTACCGGAATATTCAGACCAATTACTATTAAAAATTAAAGCAATGTCAAAAGTCGAAAAAAAATGTGTAGTTTTATTTGATGAGATGGCAATAATGAAATGCATTGAGTATAACAAAAATCTGGATATGATCAAAGGTTTTGAAGATAAAGGACCATTGGGTCGATATTCAAAATACGCAAAACATGCTTTGGTTATAATGATACGTGGGTTGTATAAAAATTGGAAGTTTCCACTTTGTTATTTTTTAACTTGCAATGGTATGACAGGTGATGAATTAAACATAATAATAAAAAGTTGTATAAAAAAAATTTTGGATATTGGCATGTTGCCCCTACTGCTTTATTATGTGATCAAGGTACTCAAAATAGAAAACTTTTTTCTCTGCTAGGTGGTACAGAAAACTGCCCCAAAACTGAAATCCACGGTCAAACACTATTTTTAATATATGATATACCTCATTTATTTAAAAGTATCAGGAATAACTTATTAAACGGAGATATAAAAATTAGCGAAAAGACTATTGTGTTTAAAGATATTGTAAAAAAGTATGAAATTGATCGTAGGAGTGCCACAACCCGAGCTATGTGTAAAATTACACCGTCTCATTTAAACCCCAACCCATTCAAAAAAAATGTCTTGCAAACTTGCACTACACATTTTTAGCAATAGTGTCGCGTCCGCTATAAAAACGTGTGTCTATACAAAAGAGTTAAATTCTTAAACCGCTCTTGACACTGCTAATTTTTTGTTGGAATTAAATAATACATTTGATTCGTGTAACAGTCAACAGCTGAATGACAAAAACCCTAACCGAAGGCCTATGAGTGTTCAAAATCGACAAATATTTGAAAATATTAATAAAACAATTTCAACATTCAAAGTAGCAAAAAAGTTATGTCACAAAAATAATATAATATCAGTACCGCCCTGTTTTACAGGAATGATATTGTCTTTAAATGCTTTAATACTATTATACGAAACAGAAAAAAAATATATAATTGAATCATCGGACCAAAAAAAAATATAAATGATCAATTAACAGAAAAAAATGAAGAAACTCCACTTTTTGAATCACTAAGTGATTGTTTGAACTCGTCATCGAGTTCTCCTGTTTTAATTAATAAACTACCTGTACCGGCTGTATCTTTAGAGGAATGTTCTATAATTTACTTTGCTGGTTACTTAGCTAAACGCTGTATTGACAACTTAAAATGTCAAAACTGTGAATCATCAATAATTGAACACGACATTTTAAATATCCCTAGTCAATTATTGATAACCTTTAAAACTTTTGAAAATATAAGTTATCCAAATGTTCAAGGCTTGAAGAAGCCATCTAATTATCTTATTTCTCTTTGTAAAATTGGACTTAATACTTTCGCCAGAGTGTTTAATGACATTAAAAGTGAGAAACGGTTAGTATATCAGATGTTGCAGATTATATTGAAAGAGATTAATAAAAAATATTTAGAATTTGAACACATGGAATGTAAAGATCACTACATATTTATTCTGAAACTGCTTCTTGTCACTAGAATATACAAAGAATGTAAATATGTAAGTAATGAGGAAAAGACCTATAAGCAAACTAATAAAGTTCCAGCAAAATTAAGAATTTTAACTAATAAGTAAAATTGTATGATTTTGTTTATTAAATCGTTGTATAAATATAGTATCCTTTATTGTTTATTATATTAAGTAAGTTTTTAGTTTAATTATTTGTGAATCGATACAAAATAAATTTACCTAATATTTGGCAATTCATCGGAAATTAACTTAATGTAAAAAGTGTATAAAATAAAAAAAAAAAAACTTATAAATAATATGTTATTTAATATTGTATTGTATTTAAAATAATGAAGTTGGTATATTGGTAGTGTACCTCTAAGAATTTCAGTAATAATATTTTATAAATAACAATATTTTATCATAATTCAAATAGGACTAAATTAACTGATTTTAAAAATGATTAATTCATTTGAGACTCAATTTATTTATAAGAATATATAAGAATTTTAGACCTCCCAAAAAATGTTACTCTTATCACGCCTATGGTGATGATGAAGTTCCGAATTTGGACAGAGTCCTACACTCCGCGGGAAAGGTATGAGCCTAGACTCGTCCCCTTTCAGGCAGAGGCACCAGATACTTTTCGAGAAAAGTATCGGGCATCGTCAGATGAGAACAGTTTAAGGCCGTCCACCAGTCTCAGATGAAGAGTTTTTACGCCCCTCGCCTTAAACATGGGTTTTCAAATGACTTCCAGTTTGGTTTCAAGATGTATCAAATCTCTCTACTGACCACTGGTAAGGCCGCGGAACTATCCAACCCGCTACTTAATATGGTTTAAACAACCGCCAGGTGGTATACTCCCACCGGCAGAGTGGCCGTGTTCCCGGGAGAATACTCACCGTTAACCTTCGCCTGATTAGCATGCAATCATTAACCACTTTCGTCATATACATGACTGCCACTACGAATCCGATCCCAGACGTCCACACCAGGTTTCCCCGATGCTTGGTTCCAGACGTCGTTCCCGTAGTACTTATTCCTAATTTAAATTAGGCCTGGTTTTTCAATCTGATTTATTCGTCGAATTACTCAAGTTATTTGCCGGATAACAAAAATATATTATTTTCCGGTTTTTCAATATTGAAATAAGTCTTATTTGGAGAATAAATCACAAATAATTTATTTGGTACTTTTTCTACCGAATAAGAACTTATTTGACTAATAACTACCAAAAATTGATATCTACAGCAATTACAACTTACAAATTTATAATCAATGATAATAGTAATCAATAATATTATTTAAATTCGTTGTGTCTTTTCTTTTGTCCCGTGTTCGTTAAAATTATTGATACCTACCTAATTACGATGATGGAATTATTGGTATTGCCGGTATTAGACATTATCGAAGATGACGATGTTGAAATTGTCGAGTTTTTAAATTATCAACGACGTACGTACACAATTCGTGTACGAATTAACCATATGGAGTTTTGGGATGATCAAGACTTTAAAGTTAGATTTAGAATCTCCAAAGAAGTAGTTATTGAAGTTTTAGGATATATAAATGAGCAGATATCTTCACAATCATATAGGTGATTATCTATACAATAATAAAATAATTGGTATATCAAATTTTTTATTCTGTAATTTGTAAATGTTAAAATTATTTTAGAAATCATGCCGTAACATCCATTAACAAACTGCTTTTAACTCTACGATTTTATGCTATTGGAAATTTTCTAATAACTGCTGGAGATTTTTTGGGAGTAAGCAAAACTACATCATCATTAATTGTTCGTGATGTCAGTGTTGCATTAGCAAGACTACTGCCACGGTTCATAAAAATGCCAGACACAGAATTAGAAATAAATACGTTACAGAACCGTTTTTATGATATTGCTAAATTTCCTAGAGTTATTGGTGCTATTGATTGCACTCATGTAAAAATACAAAATCCAGGTAATAAAATATTAGTATATTAAAAGGCAAGCATTTATAATATGTTTTGGGAGTGTTGTAAATTAATTGATACTTTTCCCTTATTACCTAATAAGTAATAAGCAACTTCAAATAATGTGGAATTGAATGTATATAGGTATTTAAATATAAGTATAAAAATAAATAAATATAAAAAATAAAATATAAAATATATAAATAATAAATAAATAAAAATTAAATGTTTATATAGGTGGAGATAATGCTGAATACTTCAGAAATAGAAAAGGATATTTTTCATTAAATGTCCAAACTATTGCTTGTCCTAACTTAAAAATTATGGATATTGTAGCTCGTTGGCCCGGGTCTTGCTATGATCAAACAATATTTAAAAAATCAAAGGTATATACCCAATTAATCAGTGGCAAATGGGGAAATGGTTTGATTGTGGCGGACAGTGGTTATGCTAATTCTCGTCACATTGTCACACCTTTCATTAATCCTCAAAATCGCATTGAACAGCTGTACAACGAATCAATTATAAGAACTAGAAATCCTGTAGAAAGGTCATATGGAGTTCTAAAACGCAGATTTCCAGTATTATCTTTAGGATTACGGTTAAAGTTACAAACAACTCAGGCAGTTATTGTCGCTTGCTGTGTTTTACACAACATTGCTTGTGACAGCAATGATCTAGATCCACCAGAATTGTTAGATTTATTTTTACCAGAAAATGAAAATATAAATATATTAGAAGAAGTGATTGAAGAAGGAAATGCAAGACAACAATTAGTGGTTGATTACTTTGCACATTTGTAGTTACTGTTAAAAATGTAACTTTGCTGTGTAAAATTGTATTCAGTAGAAACCAAATTAACGATGTATACTTTAAAAATATTTTTATCTTTAATATATGTGTTATAATTTTTAAATTTAAAACAAAATTAAAATAAACATAATAAAACAAATAAATGAAGAACATATATTTATAACAACTTACAACTAATAGGTA